TTCTGTTTTCCCTGACTTGTCTCTCCAGAGGCCACCAGCTAACTCTGCTTTCTTTCATTTCGTTTTCCATGTGTTGCAATTGAAGGTGTTTCAGGTTGTCTCTCTCCTTTGAAAGGAGAAGAATAATAAACTTGCTAGGAAGCTGCGCATTGTGTTAGTCAACTGTCTTTCACTGCAACAAAATACCTGCGATAAAAATGACTTAAAAGGAGGAAGGATTTATTTTGGCTCACGGTTTCAGAGGCTTCAGTCCGTGGTTGATTGGCTGCTTGTCTGAGGGTGAGAGAGCACATCACAGTGGAGCATGTGGAGGGGCGAAGCTGCTACCATTATGGCGGCCAGGAAGGAGAGAGAGAGTGGAAGAGGCCGGGTCACGGAACCTCCTTCTAGGCATGGACCTGTGACCTGACTTCCTTCCACGAGGCCCCATCTTTTAAAGATGGTGACCAAGCCTTCAACACATGGCCCTTCAGGACATTTAAAATCCAAACCATAATATGTGCTTATTGAGCTCCGGTTGTTCCTATCTTACTTCCTCTTTGGTGACTTCTGTGTCCATCCATGCGCATGCACCATGCAGTGGACTTCCCAGCCTGCCACTGCAGCACTCTCATGTCCCAGTGCCAAAAGAAGGGACGGCAAAATCCTACTGAAAGAGAGAGTCCTCCATTCACCCACAGGTGTCCCTCAGAGCAGATTTCTATCTGATTGACACCCACTCCATCAAGCCCACTTATTTGGTTTCCAGTTTGATGCTACAGTTCTGGGTTTTGCTGACGGAGAAGAAACAGGTGAAGAAGGAAGGTGAGATGGTTAGCTCTATGTAATGCAGACAGCGGGCTTTAAAAGGCTGGGGGGTGGAGAGCAGCCTAGGGCTACACAGGGTAGAGGCAGATAGCGCTGGAACTTTTAGGCGATCTTGAGGCCCACCTGCAGTTAAGTTCAGGAATCAGTGTTTATGTTAATGCCCAGAGACACACACACAAGCTTCAATTACTGCATGACTAAGAAACAGGCAGTTAGTTGTAAGGCGATCCAGCTTTCAAAGGGGAATATCACCACCAGCAGCACTGAACTTGGGGAGGGAGGAATATGTCTTAGATTCAACGAGTCCTGCTTTGTTCAGAAATGCCTCTTTGGTTAGTTGGATGGTTGAAATCTGTTTCAAGAAGGCAGCAATCTGCACAAAGCTGAGCCCCTAAAACCTCGAGAGACAATCTTTCTCTACCAGGATGAATGTTCTATAGAGATGTCGTTTCATCTTCAACACCTTTAACACAAAATTTAAACTGATTTGTGTACACATGATTCTAAAGTGAGTTCTATATGACATTTACTTGCCTTGGGCCATTGAGTGTCCCGGTCAGCTGTCCTCTCTGGGCTTGTGTGTCTACAATTCATGGTTTTCTTGCTCTTCTTTTGCAATTTGGGTGACAGAGTCCTGCAGCTGTGCTGGTCCTTCTTGGCAACCATTCAGCACATTCTGGCTTAATGTGAACTAAAGTACCACGTTGTTAGAACTGTGCCCATGGTGGGCCAGTGGCTCAAGAAGGGCTCCTTGAAGGCCACCAAAGATCTGTGGGTCTCCTTCATTCCGGGAAAGAAGCAGGAGAGTGCCTGTTCTATAAAATCGGTTTATACCAGAGACACTTTCTGGTGGGGCAGGTAGAGTGCTGAGGAAGGGCCATTCATTTTCAAGCTGCTCCAAAGGCCTGCACTGGCTGCTGGGCCTCGTCTACCCCAGGTTCACGCCTGGTCTCAGCTGATTTGGATGACGGATTGCTGAGGGGCTTGCTCTCCCACACCTGCCCTGCTGCTTGGGTTGGCTTAGGATGTGCTTTTGACTGTGGAGAATGTCCTGCATTAAAACCTGTCCCCAAGGCCCTCAGTTGAACAGGTCAAGGTCAAGAGCAGAAAATCTGGAGTGGCCCACTCTCCTGATCCTATTCCTGCCAGCCAGCATACCTACCACACATGATTTGTGTACACATGATTCTAAAGTGAGTTCTATGTGACAATTACCTGCCTGGGGCCATTGAGTGTCACACACAGAGCCACTCCCGGGAGAATGTGCCTGAACCTGCCTTCCTGATGCCCACCTGGGTCAGCCCCCATGTTCAGGACATGACTTACAATACCTTCCCCAGAATCATATCCATATGCTCCCAAAGATGCTATGGCTCAGCCAATCTGTTGAACTCTCTGCTGGAAGCTTTTGTCTAAGAGACACAATGACATCCTTCCCTGAAAACAACTGGCTTTGTGCTGGCTATTCAGGATTTTGGTATGAAGAGCATATTGATTAAGGAGTCCTGAAGACAAAAGAAATTAATAAAGTAATGTTTGATTCAGTGTGAGGTTGTGTTTGGGAAGAACGTGGGCACCACCCAGGAGGGGCTCAGAGGTCATGTCCGAAGCCTGGGTAACGTTTCGCCTAGGAGGTGGCTCGGTGGGTGCCCTGTTAACTTGACATTGGAAATGCAGTGCGTTTTTCATTGACAATGAGCTTGAGGAAAGCATAGACAGGCCGCACATTATGGTCCAAGGGTCTCTTCTTTGAGTCAAGGATATGAAATTGGTAGAAGCCATTCATAACTGTCGGACAGAACACTTTCATTGGTTTTCTTTCACCCTGGTCCACAGCTCAATTCTGGGATAGGCAAGGTTGTGGATGGTTGAGCTGTGGACTATCAACTGACTTTAGGAAAAGGAATATGAGAACGTTACTCTTAAGGAAATTTGTGCTACCCCAGCTCTGCCACATGCCAGACCCAGGAAGGAGGCACAAAGCTTTAGTGGAGAAACAGAAATGCCGGACACAGGCCACTTCAGAGCCCACAGTGGCTGCGGGTCTTCCCTGGAGTGGGGTGGTTTAAAACGTAGGGCACGACTAAAGAGCTCTTAATTCCAGTCTGTCTGCATAGTGTGCGGGCGGAGACGGGGCACATGCTCACCCTGAGAAGGCCAGCCTGCCTGCGACACCGTCCTGCTCTGCATTTCAGAGTCCACAAAAAGAGGCCCAATCAAAAGCTGTGGGAAAGCTCTTCCTTGGCCGCATGTTTTTCTTTCCTCCAGTAAGCGAACTCCGTTCTACTTTCTACCATTGGTTTAGCGCTCTCGAGCCACTAGTGGAACTTCTGCCACACACAGGGCCACTCCCAGGAGAATGTGCATGGACCCACCGCAGCGGCAGCTCTCCGTCAGTGCAGAGACCCCAGCAGTCAGCGCCCGGGGGAACGCTGGTCTGGCTCACAGTGTGGGAGGCCGCAGTCCACAGTTGGGTGGATCCCTGGTGTTGGGGCCCTGAGTGTGGGTGGGCAGCATATCCTGGTGGGAGCTCATGGGGGAGCAGACCATTCACCTCCTGGCTGGGGTGGAGGAGAGCGGAGGAGAGGCCAGCCGCCCAGATCCCCCTCCCACCTCCGTCCTCCACCGGGCCACTGCTTGAGGTTCCACCACTTCCAGTGGCACCAACCGGGGCTTTAGGACAAGGGCTTTGGGGGGCCATTTAAGATCCAAACTGCAACAGACAGACAGATGATAGATGAAAAGGTCAGTAGGTAATACACAGATGAAATAGATTTATGTCCACGAATCTGTAAATAAATACACCAGCTTAAAGAACCAAACACAGGATAGATCTATGCCATTAGCCAGACTGAGTCTCTCATCACTGATAACTAATTTGTTTCTGGATTCTTTAAGAGAGCTTCGAATCAAAAGAGGCCATGCAGAAAGGAATGACTATTTTAGGGCTTTTTTCTGCCTACTTGTTTTTTACTTAAATAGAATTGATGATTTTTGAGGTAAAAGTTTGGAAAGCTATTTCCATACAATTTAGCAAAGTGCAACTTTGCCACTAGTGGATAAATCTCCTCTCCAAATGACAAGATCTAATAACAATTGCCTTTTATGTTCATTTATTTTATTATGTACTTTTTAATCCTTTCAATGTGTCAACCCCCCCCTGGAACCTGGTCGGAACGTCACGACATTTTGTTTGTTCAGAAGAACATGGAAAACCCAGTTTACCCCCTGGGGGAATCAGACCTTGAGCTGCCAAGTTGACTCTCCTGGGCTGGACCCCAGAGCCAGGAGGGTGCTGGGGGCGGGGGCTTGGTCCCAAAGTCTTTGTGCTTTTCACAGGCTGAGGGCCTGGCCTCACCAGAAGTGGATTCCCTCAGCTGGGACGCAGAGGCCCAGGCGGACGGGCCGGGAGGCTCCGCAGCCCCAAGGCCTTGCTGGAAGCTCAGGGCTGCTGCCAGAGCCAGGGGTCGTGCCCCTTTCTTTACTGTGGAGAAGGGACTGGAGGGAACAGAGCGAGAGTCCCCTAACGACTTTTGTCGCAGAGATCATTCCACGTGGACTCAATCTTCTTAACTGTTGTGAAGCATGTCACACATGATTTACTGACCCCGTCCACTGCTCGTGGGCACGAGGCAGTGTCCAACTCTGCTGCCACGGCACGGAGGCAGGCAGCACGCTGGACACGCCTGTGGGCCCACTGCCTGTGGACTGTGCAGTGACCTAATGAGGCAGGTCGACCTCTGTGCTGGCCCCAGGAGCTTGCCTGGCCTCAGCATTCCTGCAATGATAACAATAACAATGCTTATTAAATGCTGGTACTGAACCAAACACTTCACGTGCATTATTATTACATTAGTACCTCCACTTTAATAGTTGATATTTTTGATATATATAATTAAGTAAACTATATAAAATATATTACATTTTATTATATAAAGTGAGTGATGTAAAAAATTAAATGAATGCCATTTAATATTATTAATTTATTATTACCTACATGATAGTGGAGGCTGGGTAGTGCAGACATGGGATTTGAACCCAGGTACTTTGGCCCCATAGTCGAGGTGCTAAACCTCCCATGGGGCCCTGACTGCAAAGCTCTCTGCCGTTTCCAGAGCGGGGGGCGATAGACCTCAGTACTTCAGATGTGGTCTTGGCCGATATTTTGAGCACAACTTTCATTTTATTTTTAGTAGAAACAAAAGTATATTCTGGAAGCACCAAGGAGCAGCACGGAGCAGCGTGTGTGTCATTGTCTGCTCCCCCAGAGGAACAGAAGCCCATTAAACCTTTCCCTCCCGATGGGGACAGGCCACCAAGCGATGACTGTGAGTCTAGCGACCTTTTTGAGCCCAGAGAGAGACAACATCCAAGCCTCCTGAGTCCCAAAGTCCCTATGCCTGGGTTTCTGTGCCCCTTGCAAGAGGCAAGGCCATCTCTGCAGGAAGACAATGGTGCTCAGATAGAAAGAGGGCTTCCCGAAGGTAAGGAGCAGGGGCGGTCCAGGGGGTCCCTTCTTGATGCTCGTGGGAGGCAGCGCAGAGCCTTCCCCACTGCGGCTCACCTGCTGGCCTTACGGAGGCATGAGAGCAGAGAGGGAGCAGAGCCATCAGGCTTCATAGTGGCCGAGCTCTACCTTGTGCGCAGCCAGAGGCAGCCCCACGTGGGCCATGGGTCCCCACCCTACCTAGAACAAAGCTGGTACCAGCTGAGGCTGAAAGGCCACCTGCAGGTGCACAGCAGGCTCCCTGGCTTTGCTAAGAAATGGCTGCTGGGGAGACAGCCAGACTGACCGAGGCCCGGTGATTCATGGGCAGGGACCACGGTGTAGGGGTGTGGCCATGTGACACTTAACAATATGAGCACATGGACCTCCATGCCCTCAAGGCAGGTCCTGTTCGCGGCCTCTCAGAGGCAGGAACCCAGTAGGACACAGGTGCAGTCTCTCGGGCGGTCGAGCTGCTGGCCACCTGAATGTGCAGAGAACGACGATGTATAAAGAGACACAAGCATGTGATGGGATGGTCTGCGGTGCCTAAGAACAGGGTTTCCTGTTACTCTAAAGATGTTCTCAAACAACTACAGAAAGGGCAGAAAGAAAGAGGCTTGATTATAATTAATAAAAAATTATGTCACTCGGAACCTAAATTGATCCCTAACTCTTCCCTCATTAGCCCATCACAGAAGCAATTATTAAACAGCCACTGCCTGCCAGGCTCTGCGGTCAGCGTGTCCACTCCAGGCTCTCAGTCCTGTGCGGACGGGTCGGCAGCAGGGCTGCGTCTGAGGGGTGCCCAGAGGAAGCTGAGGACGGCCCCGGCACTCAGGGACGGTCTGGGCAGAAGCGTCTTCCCCTCAAAAATGGTTTTGAAGAGAAGGTGAAGCCTTCCCTGAAACCTTAGAGATTTAAAAATCAGACCTGAGGGCAGAGGGCACCGCAGGCAGGGGAGGCTCACACCCTCGGAGCTCAGGAAAGGCAAGGGCTAACACGGAGCGGCAAGGGGCATGCGCAGGTGCCATGTGCAGGGCCGGGGCCTGGTGTGGTCATCAAGGGTCCCATGGGTCAGGTCAGAAGACCCTTCTGAACCCACCAAGGGGGTCTGGACTGAAGGTAGGACTGAGGCCCTGCAGGGAGAAGACACGGCGAGATTCGCTCTAAAGGTACTGTCTCGGGAGCAGAGTGGGCGGACAAGAGCAGGGCCAGGCTGAGCCGAGACCCAACAGGAAAGGACAGCAGAGGGTCACTGGGTGGAAGGGGCACTGTGGTGGAGACCTTCTGCATCTGACAGACAGGTCTTATGATGAGCAGCGAGGAAGACAGGACTGTTAGGACTGGCCCTCGGGCAGCTGGTTATGCTGGTGGGGACAACAGTGGAGAGGGAGCCAGAGGCCTGTGGCTTCCCCGTGAGCTGGAGAACACCCTCACAGCAAGGCCTGGGGGGGCACGTGGGAGGGGCCAGCCTCGCGGCTGAGTGGTAGCTCTCAGCCAACTGGGCCTAGTGGTCACTCCTAAAGTGGAGGGTCCATGGGGAAGTCCTCCAGTAGGACGAGAGCAAAGGACAGATGGTGTGGGAGCCTCCAAGTGGAGTGGTGTTGGGAGAGAATCTCAGTGAGGTGGACACTCACAAGATGAAGGCCTGAAGGTCCAGTCAGCTTGGGCTGTAGGGAGTAGGGAATGTTGATGGATTTTGAGTGGACAGTACAGCTAGTCCTGCCACAGAGGATAAAGTGACAGTGACAGCCTGGTTTGTATGAGCTGTATCTGGTGGCCCGTGAGACTCCTGAGGCCACCTCACCTATCCTAGAAGGGCTAACTCCTTTTAAGCACCTGGCATGGAGCTCTTGGCAGATGGAGACTGAATAGGACGTGGTCCAGCCCCTGGAGAGCCTCAGGCGGGTGGGGTTCAACCGCATCTTCTGACCCCACCTCATGGCGCATGCTGCTGGGTGGGCGAAAGGTGTTCCCCTGCGGAAACACAGCAGAGTCAGGCCTGGGCTCTGCCTGCAGAGGGAGGAGGCGCCCTGGAGGTTGGAAGCTTGGAGCTGGGGCTGCAGGCCGGACATCATGGGGCAGTGGAGTCAAAGGGGCGTGTGGAGGTGGGAAGTAAGCAAGGTGCTGCCAAGCCCAGGGCGAGGGGTGGTGTGGCTGTGGTCGGTGGGGAGGGTGCGGGCGGAGCAGCAGAGGGAGCCTGGGAAGGGGGGGGCTAAGGATAGAGATCCTCGTGTGTCCCAGGCCGAGTGCTGGTCAGGAAGGGGCCAGTGAGTGCTGCGGATCTCCCTCCTACCCCCTCAGAGGCTGCCCTACCTGAGGTGCTAAGGAGTCTACTGTTTCCACAAAGGAAAATCAAAATGGCCCCAGGAAGGGACTGGAACCAGCCCTGAGAGAGCCATCATTCCAATCACTTACGTAAAGCCGGCAGCAGACTGTGGAGAACGAAGGGGAGGATGAGTGACCGAGCACCGTCCCCTGTCCTTATATCGTTACCGCGGCAAACACGAGACAGATCAACACGCTGTCCTGAAGCAAGCCAACTGTGGCCACGTGCAGGGCACACTTAAAAGGAAGCCCAGAACAGGAAAGTTTCTTCTCAATTTGAGCAAGGCCTTCTAAACACCAGGAGCAGGAATACCTCCATGACATAATTAGCCAGTGGTGAAGTGGAGATGACTGAAGGTTCTTCCTGGGGACCAGTGCTGCCTGGGGCGTCTGTGACGAGGCCTCATCTTGTTGGCTTAACGAGGACCATTAATAACCCACTGGCGTTTCTATTTCCAAAATTGTCTTCTGTGTCTGATAGTGTTGAGGAGCCAGGCGAGAATCCTCCGGTGCCCTCTAAATGGAATCCTAAATTTCTCCTAGGAGATTACACGTGCTGTGACCTGGTTGTGAAAATAAAAGAATGTAAGAAGAGTGAGGAGCCCACTGTGCCTGAGCCCTCACCAGAGCCACCCTCACCAGAGCCACCCTCACCAGCAGCCCCCCAGGGAGCAGAGACCTTTAACCTGTCAGAAGAGGGTTCTGAGCTCGAGCAAATGCCTGCCAACTCCTTGACCTTGCAGGTAAGGCCTCTGTGTGTCCAGATTCCTGCCAGGCGGGGAGGCCTTCCCTGGCCTCTGAGGCTGGAAGCTGATTCCCCTTCCTAGAGGCTGTGGGACACTGGGCAATTTCCCTAACCTTTCTGAGCCTCTGCTTCTCTGTTTGATTAATGGATCTAGAGACACTGACTCCACAGGTTAGAATCAGGATCAAATGCTATCCACAGTGACAGTGATCATAGCCATGACAGAGGGGCTCAAAGTTTACACAGGACTCTTTATAGGCCTCAGCACTTTTGATCCTCAAATGACCCTTAGCAGGCAGGAGTCCCTAAATACCCCATCTTCAGATGAGACTTTGAAAGATTAAGGAAGTTTCCAAAAACAGGTGGCCGTGACGTGAAGGATAGAGATGATGTGATTGGATGTTTCCTAATTATAAAAATGGTATGTGCACATTTTTTTAAGTTATAAAAATTAGGAGGGCAAACGAACTCAGACCTGCCATGGTGTATTGATGGCCAGCCACACCCCAGGGCAGGCGCTGGGTCTGCTGTGATTGTCCCTGCAGAGGCGGAGATGGCTCCACTGGTCAGCTCCTGCACCCTGGGGGCTCAGTGGGCCCTGTGAAGTGTTCATGGTGCCCTGAAGCTTCTGAGGCTCCAGGGCTATCCTCAAGGGGGAGGACAGCTGCATAGCGGCCACTCTTGGGCCAGCAAGGTGTCCACAGGGCCGTCTCTCCAGCTGGGACCTCCTCTGACATCAGTACATCCAGGGACAGGTGCCTTGTCCCACCAGCAGCCACAGCTGGCATATGGCAAGGAGACTCTTTTTCTACCACAGCTGCCAGGGACACATATGTGACACAGATGGAAGCCACCATGCCCTGTCCCAGGGAGCCCTGAGTTCCAGTGGGGTGGGGGAGGATGGGTCAGGGCAGGGCCTGTGAGAGACGTGTTGTCAGTGGGACATGCCCGGGCTTCCAGGGCTCACAGCCTCGCATGGAGAAGAGCATGTGTGATTCATCATTGCACAAGGTGGCCTGTGAGGCCCTGGGATGCTCGGGCCGAACAGGAAGATCCAACAGGGCTTACTAGCAGGGTCAGAACTCAGCCAGCGGCATGGCTGTGCATGGTACCTCAGGCAGGGGGACGGCTTGAGCAGAGTCATTCAGAGACCAGGAGTTCCATCAGGAAAGGTGGCACAGGAAAAAGCACAGGACTGGCACAGCTGAGGGCCGCCATGCCATCTTCTAAGCTACCAGCTACCTCTGTGTTTGCATCTGTCCAGTGGGAATAAACACACCTGCCTTCCAGAAGGAATGTGGGGATTCCAAGGGACAAGTCCCCAGAGAGCACCTAGCCAGGTCTGGCATGGTGGCACTCAGTCTCTTCAGCAAACCTGTGTGAGTGGCTTGGCATAGGGAGGTGGGGGCACGGGGCTCACATGGCGTGGTAGGACTTCTGACCTGTCCTGGAGCCCAGAGACCATTCTGCACAGGCAGAGATTCCCTCCCAGCACTTCCACCCGGGGGAGAGCTGCTGTCCCCCAGCCACGGTCATAGCCTCTCCCGAAAGGCCCATTTCCACCTGGTTGGATGGGTGATGTATGTTTGTGGCCTTAAAGGCTTCAATCCCTACCAGGAGCCAGTGACTCAGAGCTTGCATTCTGTCCCCACCCATGTCTCTCTGGAATGGGGGACACCGGGCACTCAGATTTGGGTCTGTTGGCAATGAGCGGTTTGAGTGGTGGAAGTAAAAGGGGCAGCTGTTCTCATGATCTGGGTGCTAGTTTCTGCTGGATGCCACTGCACCGGGGCTCTGGGTGCTAGCCAGAACTGACCACCAGGACCCGTGTTGTCCACACAACTGTAACCTTTATGTGAGGTCATGGTAGAAAAATGTCTCTGAACGTCACACTTTTGATTGGCTTCTCTTGGCCAAATGGATGGACGTGTTGCCTTTTGATGTCACTTATCCTAAAAATAAGACTTTTTCTGTGTTCCCACCAGGAAGCGCTGGAGGCCCACAGGCCTCAGTTCATTTCTCGCTCTCAAGAGCGGCTGAGAAAGCTGGAGCGCATGGTGCAGCAGAGGAAGGCCCAGCAGACGGAGCACCCAGAGCAGAAGCCGAGCTGGCTCCCCGTGCGCGCCAACAAGAAGCAGTTCACCGTTCCCCATCCTCTCAGTGGTGAGCCACAGGTGGCGGGGAGGATGGAGGAGACAGGGAGGGGACCCTGGGGCCTGAGCCTTCTCCTGGGAGGGTGGTTCCGAACAATGCCATAGACACATGCAGAAATGACCCTTGGTGTCATGGAGCCTGTTCTGGGACCAGCCCATTTTGAGAGATTCCATGTGGGCATCTCACTCCTCAGAAAAATCATGGGACACAGTTTACCACTCTAGCTGGGAAAGAAGCCACACCACCACAGCAGCCAGGACAGCAAGTTCACATTCCTGGCTCCTAACTCGTGTTTGCAAGAGGTCCCCTTTGCCCTTTATAGATTGCAAAACACGTCTCAGGGCCAGAGGTTGACTCCAGCTTGTCTACATCAACATTCGTCATCTTGGAAACCCCTTCCCTGCTGCGAGCTCAGACAAGGGATGGCCAGCTCGTGGGGCACTGTGAGGCCAGGGTCCAGCTGCCCTGGGAGGAAGGGCACTCACATGGGAGAAGGAGTTATCAGGATCCTTCTCTGGGCGAGCATCATGCAGGGAGCTGGGAACACCACAGTGAGCAAGACTGACTTCACTCCTTCTTTCATGGACCTTATAAACAGACTATTAAACTAGCAAGAATCACAAGAAAAGATGAGGCAGGGGTGGGGGACACTAGAGTGCACACTTCACAGCCTGCCAACCCAAATGTTAGACTCAGGAGGCCTGAAGAAACCTCAGTTTTATTCCTTTGGACAAAGGAATGAGTTCTCTCTTCCTAGGAAAATGTTTTGGACCCCGGGAAGTGAAATCATGAGTAAAATTCTAAATAAAATTCCTCTGGGGAAATGACCATATTCAATAAAGTGCAGCTTAGCAAACATTACCAAGGTCCCATAAGGGTCACTGGGGGGACAGGAGGAAAAGGGTGTTATCATAGAATTCCTGCTGCTCCCATGGTCCTTGGCAGAGGACTGTCTAGCCTCAGCTCCACAAAGAGCAACTGGGTTCAGGCACGGACTTCTCAAGTGCTGCAAGGACTGAAAGCCAGCCACAAGTGGGCGTGTCCTGTCTTGCAGTGCTGGGCTTGCTCTGGGCAGGCTGGGTGGTGGTGTCCATGCTGAATGGCCACTAACTCTCTCCAGTTCTGATGATGCTGCTTGATAAAAATGGTCATGCAACCAAAGCTAATGTCAGCAAACACAATATGAGATCACTTTAGAGTGTACCATACTCACATTCACGGACCTAATGGATCTAAGGGTCTTCCTTTTCAGCCAAGTGTCTTCCCTCTGTGTAGGAAGGAACCCAGAGCCAGGGCAGAAGGAAACTTGTGTAATGTGGGGGTGTTTGGTAGCTTTCCATCACTGTGACAAATACCCAAGATAAATAAACTTAAAAACAGAAAAGGTTTACGTTTGCTCACAGTTTGGGAGGTTTCAGTCCATGGTTGGTTGGCCCCAGTGTTTTGGGCCCTATGATAGGTGGCACATCATGGTGGAATTGTGTGTGGCGGGAAAAGTTGCTCACTGCCTAGCAGCCAGGAAGCATAAGGGAGAAAGAATCACCAGGACTCTACCCTTTTGAAGGCACCGTCTTTGGGACCTGAACCCTCCTGCTAGGCCTGCTTATTAAAGTTCCCACTACCTTCCAAGAGCTCCAGCCAGGGCACATTTCAGACCCAAACCAGCATGGGTTCCTTCTCTCCTGGGCTGGGGCTTTCAAGTGTCCTGAGTGTCCCAGGTGATGTGATCTTGGTCATCAGGAGTATTTGCTATGGCTTACGATCCCAGAAATGTACACTCATTCTGGGGCCAGTGTCTAGAGAGTTGGCTCCTTCTGGAGACACAGGGGAAGCGACCCATGGCCCCCTCTCAGCATCCATCGCTCCTAGCTGTCCTGGCGACCTTGGCTGGGAGCACCTCCCTCCCTCCCCTCTCTGCCTGTGTCTTCTTGCGGCCTCCTCCTGTGTCCTGATTTCCTCTTCTCATTCATGGGGCTGGGGTCCACCTAACCCAGCATGACCTCATCTCAATTTGACTATATCTGCAAGGACCATATTTCTAAGAAGGTCACAACAAGATCTAGCCTCAGCTAGTTCACATTGAGAGGCAGGAGGTGGGGGTTGGACTCTGATGTATTTTTTGGGGGAGGGTCACAATTCAGCATCAATCAACTTTGATGTTTCCCCTAAAACAATTATCCTCACAAGTTCACCTTCTTATAAATGAAAATCTTAAAGCTGTGTATTATAAAAAGGGGATCCAGCCCCATCAGTGGTGTTAACTAACTGAGGCACCTTTTTACACCCTAAATTCCAAGACAGCCCTGGCGACTGGAATGTGCTCAAGGGGACGTGGCCAGCTTGGGTGTGTGGCCACTCCTGCCTGTCATCCCCGAGGTACTTAGGTGTGATGAGAGCTTTGCTTTCATGTTTGCTTGTGTCAGGTCAGTTAAATCAGACATCTTCTGAAATCAGAGCCTCGTGTGAGCTCAGGCAAGTGAGAGGGGACGTTTAAGGGCCCGTTAAACAAGTCTGCAGTGCATATCTCGTCTTCAGCCTGTCTGCTGGCAGGATGATAAAAGCGAGATGCAGATGTTTTTCTTACATGCTAAATTAGTTAATAAATCATAGCGTGAGCGCGCGCTGGCTGCCGTGTCAAGGCGTCTGCTAAGAAGACTCAGGCTTGCTTTTGGTGCTGGGCTCCCTGCCTCTGATCAGGGCTCACAGCAGACTTGGCTCAGGGACAGACCCGGAGGTTCAGGTGGGAGCTCCAGCCGCTGCCAAAGCCAGGAGATGCAAGTCCCTGAGTTTGCAGGAATGATTCTGGCAAGGCCAGGGGACAGGTGTTTCAGGTTAATAGATGAATTCTGAGCAGCTCTGAGGTTCAGGGTCAAGTGCTCTGTGTGTGTGTGTGTGTGTGTGTGTGTGTGAGTGTTGATGAGGGTAAGAAGTCCCTATGTGGGGCAGGGGAACGTTCATGGATGATTGGGGATGACAGAGGGACCAGGAGGCAGCATTATGAAGGGCCTGGCCACAGTCGCCGGCTCCTGATGGAGGAGACCTCCATGCAGTCGGGTGAGTAGAAAGGATGAGGCAGGTCATGGTGCAGCTGGGCGAGGAGGTGGAAGCACAGTGTGAGAGGTCCCAGGGGAGCTCAGTTCCTCTGTGGGGTGGGGGTGAAGATGCAGAGGACAAAGAGCTCCAGGGACGTGAGGCCCAGGAGGCTAGCGGACACTGCATACACCACTTCTGAGTGGTGTGCCACTGCCTCACTCGGAACTGAGGCAAGTTGTGGTCAGGTGCAGCCGAGGGCAGGTGAGGGAGTCATCAGGAGAAGGCGCAGTGGCTGAGTCCTGGAGGAGGGGAGCTGAGGTGGAGGTCAGGAGGAAGGTGGCGGAGGGCTTTGCTTTCAGCCTCTCACAAGACCAAGTCTCCGACATGAGGGCCCCTCTCTTGCCCAAGCCTGGGCTCCACCGGGTCGGTCCACTAGAGTTACCTAGGGGCCAAAGAAAGGCTCTTCCATCATTGCCACACAGTGCCCAGGGATTGGGTCATGTTCAGAGGCCAGCCTTGCAGATGAAATCCAAAGTAGGACAGTGTGAAAGCAAGTGGGAAGCATCAGCACCTGTAGGCAGAAGGGGGGGGGGGGTACAACACCTGCAGGCAGCAGGGTTCAGTACCTGTGGCCAGTGGGTGGCAGCCCTCACCATCCCATTGGCATGTTTATGGCTTCACCCTACGCCCACTGCATCTCCTCAAACCTGTCCCTAACCATCTCCCGCTGAGATGGGTACCCAGCTTCAGAGCCTCCCTGGAGCCAGGCCCCTCCCCACCTGACCCTGCCACCCCAGCCCCACCTGGTTGGTCCCATTTGCTGTTCTTCCTTAACCCAGGAGCGTTCACACTTAGGGAACCAATCCACTCTCTGAATCCCACCATTCTGCCTGACCTCACAGGCCTGCTCCAGTGCAGCCCCTCCTTTGGACTCCTACCCCAGGCCATTTCCTCTGCTCCCTATGACATAAGACCTGGCCTGTGCTGCCTTTCACTTCTCAGCTGAGAGCTTTTGCCAGGGATGAATTGTTTTTGCTTCTACCTGTGCTCAATGCTGCAGCAACATGGGAAGCCAAACAGTGCCCAGACACAGTCCGTGTGGCCCGGCTACTTTCCCATCTGCCCGTCGGGTGCTCTTCATGGCTCTCTGGTGAGCAGAAAACCCCTGAGGGGCATCCGCTTCCCCCCTGAAGCCCTCCCTGTCCCCATCCTCCCTGACCCCGACCCCACTGCCATTTGCTCACTCGTGGCTCATGTTCTTGTAAATCGCCTTTTTCCCTCTTCACTTTGAATTAGGGTCCTGTGGGTGTGCTGGGCAGACCTCCCTAGACTGGAAGCACTAGTGGGCGCGCACCATGCCCAGTGGCCCCGAGACTCCCCACTGCACCTCGCACATCACACTGAGTTCATCTGAATTGCATTATCCACACTTCCCCAAGGGAGCCGAGTCAGAGCCATTCAAATCACGGACCAGTAGAGGAATGGAATTTTCCAGAAGGCACTGCAAATTTCCTTCTCCAGGAGAGCTGCCTTCACTGATGATTCCTGGCTAGAGCTTGTATTAACATTAATTTGCATTCCCAGAGCATCTAGCTGGAAATGTGACCCAGCAGATAGGAGATGGCAGCAGAAGTCATCATGGTAACAAAAATGTGCCGCTCATCACGCAGCAGCTGAGCAGGGGCCGCAACATCCTTCTGATCGCCTGAACCCATCTCATGAATGTTTTTCCATAAAACATTTAAATAAATATTTGTGGTTAGTACTCCCAATATTAATCACAAAGGAATTTCAAAATGTACTTATCAGATGAAAGTAATTTTTTTTTAATTTTATCCATCCACAGAGAAAACAGGAAGCCTGAGTTACTTAAAAACTGTTCCCATGCACACTATCACTAGTGCCCTTCAGACACTGTGACTGTGCAACAACGTGTTGCATCTTTAAAAGAAACATGGGAACAAAAGACTGATTTA